CCTCTGGAGGGACCACAGGGATTTCAGCCTTTGTAGACAAGGGCCCCTTTAATCATGTCAAGTTTTGCTTTCTGAATGTTGTTGAATTATCTCTCATTTTGTTCGAGTTGTAGTAACAAAAGTCGTGGCAAGATGCACGTCAAATAATTTCTGAAAAAAGCCTAGCAATAGTAAAAACTAGAGGAAACACTGAGTTCACTGCCGCCTGGTTTCCATTCTCTCTTCTCTCTCTCCCCGTTGACTTCTGTCCGCAGGAACCAACATGCCGGCCACCTTCGGGCACCTGGCCGGCGGCTACGATGCTCAGTACTACGGTTACCTGTGGAGCGAAGTGTTCTCCATGGACATGTTCTTCGCTCGCTTCAAACTAGAGGGAATCATGAACCCGAAGGTCAGATCTGAGAACAGCTGAGGAGAAAAATCAAACAACTTTAGTCATTTTAATCAGGAAAAAAAATCTATGGGTGATATGAAGGAAAATATCTGCTCACTACTGATGAAATGAAACTGAACCAAAACAAGCAAGCTGGGTACATTTACTTTAGTATTGGACTTAAGTACATTTAGTATGTTTAGAATTCTATACTGCCTTTATATTCATACTATCCTAAACCTCAGAGGGATTTCTTTGTTGTACTACACTATACTGCACAATAATGTGACGGCTTTGGTTATTTGCCAAATTCAAAATATTGTATTCTTTCTTCCAGACTAAAACAAATCTGTATGTTGGTGAAAATCTTTGTTACATAAAATGGAGATACATTATTATCCCAAAAGTAAACCTTTTTAAAAGCTTGCAATCGAGAATATATGTTTTTTGAGATGTTAAAAGTAAAAAGGCTATTTATCCTGAGATAAATTAGTGTGCAGAAGTTTCACTAGTAGAAGAGTTTAAATATAAGCCTAGCTTAGCACAAACACTGTTGTCTTTAATTGCTGTCTCCTGATTGGCCCTCCAGGTTGGTATGGACTACAGGAAGTACATCCTGCGGCCTGGCGGCTCAGAGGATGCCTCCGAGATGTTGAGGAAGTTCCTCGGGCGGGAACCGAAACAGGAAGCGTTCCTGCTGAGTAAAGGACTGACCGTGGAGCTGGACGCCAGCACTCCTTGTCCCTGCTGACCAATCACAGCAGACCACTCCACACACAGTTCACAGAGAACAACGGACTGATGACTGAGGTTTTCTAAAAAGAAAATAGTGACAAAATGTTTCACGACATGTACACAAATTTGCATCAATAAAAGGATTTGAGGATATCTTCTGTGTCTTGCTTTACAGATGAGTCTGGTAAGGGCCAGTACACAAACCCTTCTGTTATCTGAGGGTCTGCATGCTTTTTATTTAGTTATTGTCCTAGCAGAAATTTGATACAACAATTCTCAATTCCTGTTTGGTTCCTCTTGCTAAAGTTAAAGGAATACTTTTTTTTTCAACAACTCACCCTTTTTTACGCAAAATTCCTAAAGGAGACCTCTTGAATGCATCCACGGTGAACGAAGAATCCTGGAAAAGGGGTACATTTTTAAATGAAATAGGGACTGCATTTAACAGCAGACTTTTAAAAAAGAAAACGAAAGTTGTGCAGAGACGCAGGTCTCTTATATCCAGTTGTTTGCTCACTACTACACAAACACATTTACTAACGGCACTTCAGGCACTCAGTGCAAGCTAAGACTGTTTATGCTGACTTGTCTTTAATTGTACTGTTTAAGTAAAAATGCATGTTTGGGAAGTAGCGAGCATATACTGAATGAATGACACTTCGATTATACTGCACAAATAGTGTGAGAGTTTGTGAGCTTGTGTGCTGATATCGTTTAGTCGATTCAAAACAACAAAACTTCACTGTGGGGGCAATTCTTCAAGAATTTTGAGTGAGAAATCAATATTTAAATGATTTTTTGGGTGAGCAGAAACATACCCCTTAGGGGTAAGACACACGTGGTAATTAGTGAGCAGGTTAGTGAAACGAGTGTTGTAGGGATTGGTGATGTATCATAAGCTCCGTCGAATGGTAACTGATGAGGGCAGCTCCACTAACATTACACTACATGTTCATCATTTGTTATCTGAAAGATTAGGAGATCATTTTGCGCTGTTTCCGTGTGCGCAGTTTATCCAATCCAATTAATTCACACATCTATATTTTTTCTGCAATTGTAAAATAAATATTTTTTAAGTTAAAGCATAAATACTACCATGTACTCCATTACAAGTACAATTCCCACCTAAAATCTTCCTTTAGTAAAAAACAAACAAAACAGAGGTATCAAAAGTAAAGGTAGTCATTCTGAAAATTATATTTTATTAGAATATACTAACTGATGAATCAGTTGAGCTCATTTAAATGCTCTGCTCTTTCCACACACTTTGGTGTTTGCTGTTCTACCCTTACAGCCCAAAATAGGAGTTCCTGATCCCAGTATGAGAGTTGGGAGAGAGTGAGTTGTCAGTCGGCTACAGAGGGAGTGTCTCCCAGCTGATGTAACGTCCTCGGAGAGCTTCAGGTCAACATCACTGCTTTTTAAAAAACAGCCTGAAGGTAAAATTGCTGAACAAACATGACAGAGAGCAGATTTAACATAATCAAAAACAACTCTTCCCACTGCATACGTTGAGAATCAAACTGCTATTTTTATATTATATCTCCCTCGTTTGAGCGATAAAAGCCTTTATTTTTCAAAGCCTGCATCACTTTCTACATTGATTTGAATCTGTCCCAGAAACTATTGCTTATAGTTTGTGTCCTTTACAAAGACTCAAACTTGTGAAATCACTGCTTCCCAGCTGTTGCCTTCACCTCGCAGAACAGTAATGGATATTATTTGGGACACATGTCAACATTTTTTGCCCCTTTGCCATGTGAGCCCCCAAGTCAGAATTCTGAGTTTAAACTAAAATGTTTTATTTCATTATATTTTAACAATTTCATTTATTAATAAAAATGTGCACCTTATTTAAATGTTTTGTGCATGAATATTTCAGTAGGGAAAAATCTGAAAATAAATAAATATTTGAATAGCAGAATTGTTTCTGCTTAATTATCACTGTTTTTATAATATTGTGAATATTCTGGTTAGGGAATTTATTTTAATCTGGTCCCCTACCTTAGACCTGATCTGTGACTGGCGGTAGAAAACACACAATGTCAGCTGGATGTGAATTAACTGCCGGATCTCTTGTTTCTAATGCACCACAAAACTTGACAAATAAAAATAACTGAATAACATTTTGAAAAAGGTAACACAAATGATTTAAAGTATAATGTATTTTCCTACTTACAAGGCATCATTGTTATAACATTGAAACCAGACAAACACATCTTAAAAACAAATAACTCTGACATTTGTGGTTACTAAAAAATAGACATTTTCCATTTTTGAATCAATGTGACAATTAATGATATGCACTAGAATGGGATGATAACAGATAAAGTACTAGCCCATTACATATATGATCAGGTGCAGCTGCATTGTTATCCTGAATGTCATCACCATGCTCAGTATAATGAGCATCGAGCAGCAGCTGTGGGCGTGGCCCCTTGGGACCCCCAACTCCCACCTGCCCCGCTCTGTAAACACTTCAAAGTGTGAGTTTAATGTAAGCTGATCTGAAACAATGTTGTAGTTTTAAGTCCAGCTGGTCAAACACACATCAAAACCAGAGAGGAAAATAAAAGTATTTCTTTACAGCAACATTTAAATATCTATCTGTGTTTAAAATAACTATCAGTGTGTCTCACAGAGCCCCAGGATGTGTGTGTTTATCCTAGCTTAGCATAACAATTGCAAGCATTGGAGAACTGATAAAAGAGACAGTATAAATAGTACAGAATCGCCTCAGAGTGTGTTTTGATAGCAAACTATGGCTAATTACCAATCCATCCTGTCTTCAGCTGCGTTTAACTTTACTTAAATCAAGCTAAGATCTTCGAGCTTACAAAGCTAACAGGATCAGGATGTGAATGCTAATGCCAAGTTAAACCTCTGAAGACCAAGTAGCTGCAAGCCATCATTGGTGCTACAGGTAAATAAGATTCAACAGGAACTCTTCACTCTTCACAAACTACAAATATGTAAAACTACAAAAAAAGCTATTGTAGGCTAGTTATACAGTGTAATCACAATGCTAACTGCGGAGGATTCCCCAAATATTTGATTACAATTTTTTTTTTTAATTGTTGTTGAAGTTAGCTAACAATTACACTGAACAAAAATATAAATGCAACACTTTTGTTTTTGCTCCCATTTTTCATGAGATTAACTCAAAGATCTAAAACATTTTCTATATACACAAAATAACCATTTCTCTCAAATATTGTTCACAAATCTGAAAAAATCTGTGATAGTGAGCACTTCTCCTTTGCCGAGATAATCCATCCCACCTCACAGGTGTGGCATATCAAGATGCTGATTAGACAGCATGATTATTGCACAGGTGTGCCTTAGGCTGGCCACAATAAAAGGCCACTCTGAAACGTGCAGTTTTGCTTTATTGGGGGGGTCCGAAAACCAGTCAGTATCTGGTGTGACCACCATTTGCCTCGCGCAGTGCAACACATCTCCTTCGCATAGAGTTGATCAGGTTGTTGATTGTGGCCTGTGGAATGTTGGTCCACTCCTCTTCAATGGCTGTGCGAAGTTGCTGGATATTGGCAGGAACTGGAACACGCTGTCGTATACGCCGATCCAGAGCATCCCAAACATGCTCAATGGGTGACATGTTAGGGTTAGGGTTAGGGTT